GGGAGGAAGAGGAGGAGGAGGGGAGGGGCTGAGAGGGACAGAGGCCACCGCAGTGATTAACTTCAGTTCCAAACACAACGATCAGGCTCCACCCAGCAACAGGCCGAGGCCTGCAAACACCCCCATCCTTGGCGGTCCCCGGGTCACCAGTAGTCACCCAGATCCCGGATCCCTGCCCCAGGACCCCACAGCCACCCATGTCCCCAACAGCGAGAGTCACACAGCCGCCCGAAGAGGCGCAGCGCGTGTCACCCCGGCTGAGCCCCCACAGCCGCGGGCTGGGCACCCTGCCCCAAGCCCCAAGGGCTCCTCACCCTGGAACTCACTGGGCACTGACTGCAGGTCAAAAATGGAATGTGTCATACACTCAACATGGTTTTAGGCACAGAATTATTGAAAATGTACAAATTTACCTACAGGCCATACGTACAAAGTGCACACGAAACACAAATCCATTTTCTGTTTTGTTTTGTTTTTCTTGTTCTTTTTTTTTTGAGACAGGGTCTTGCTGTGTCGCCCAGGCTGGCCCCCCACTCACAGCAATCCTCCTGCCTCAGCCTCTCAAGTGCTAGGATCACGGGTGTGTGCCACCATGCTTGTTTCACTTTAGTTCCACCCCTGAAGACAGCCCATGACACACACACAAATATTCACAACTCTGAAAAATACCCGAACTCTGAAACACCCCTAGTCCCAAGGGTTCTGCATAAAGGATTGAAGGCCTGTGCCTTCAATCTTTGCAATGCCTGGATTCCACAAAGTCAGCCCCTGAGCTCAGATGCCATCGGGTGGCGGAGCAGCTGGTCCCCAGAACAAGGCTGGGCTCCCGCTCAGGCCCCCCTCCCCCATGCACAGGAGTGGGTGCCACCGCCCTCGAGGGCCCAGGGCACCTGCTGCTTATCAGAGTGTTCACTTAGCCCGGCAGGGGCTGGTGAACATCGGATACTCAGAGCTGGGCCGCTCAAGGACAGGGCAGGATTGAGGGCCACGCCCACGGAAGAGGTCAGGAGACAGGACGCCTGGGCCTGCCTGTAATCCCAGCACTAGGGGAGGCTGATGCAGGAGGATCACAAGTTCAAGCCAAGCCAGGGAAACTTAGTGGAACTCTGTCTCAAAATAAAAAGTGAGGAAAGGGCTGGGGTGTAGCTCAGTGCAAAGGCCATGGGTTCAATCCCACCCCGGTGTGAGGGAAAGAGGGAAGGGAGGGAGAGGGAGGAGGGAGGCAGAACACACAAGTAGGACACTGTCTATGGGAAAAGGCAAGGAGACAAACACCGGAGGGCGGCCTGCAGGCCCTATTCACAACAGCTCCGCCTGGGAGCAGCCGAGACGCCTCCAACAGGGGACAGAATAAGGACAGTGGCCTGTGTACACAACAGAGTACTACTCAGCCATAAAAAAGGAACAAATCACATCACCTGCAGGAAGACAGCTGGCACTGGAGATGGCATGAAGTGGAATAAGGCAGCCTCAGGCTCAGAGAGACAAATGTGGCACATTTTCCCTCATATGTGGAATCGAAAAAAATAAGACAAAAGGGGGAAAGAGGACGCACAAGCAGAAGGGATCGGATTAAAAGAGAGAAGAGGAATAGGGGGGTTGGACAGCGGGGTGAGGACTGAGGAGGTGAAAACGGCGCAGGGTGGAGGGCGCGGAGCGCGTCGGTCCGTGTGACTAATTCACGCTGAGAGCAGAAGACCCAGGGTAGCAAACAGCGGCACTTGGGATTTGGGAGAAGGTGGGGGCCCCTCAGGGAAGGCAGAACCCACGGACCCGGAGGGGCCCTGGGGCGACCTGAGCCCAGGCCCTAGGAGCTGCGGAGAGGAACAGGGAGAGGCAGGGACGGGGAAAGCCTCCAAAGGGGACGGGGCAGGAGGCGCGGACAGCACAGCCACGCAGACAGACCTGGAGGGTGGACAGCCAGGGACCCGGGACGGGGACCGGGCGCGGGGTGAGCAGGACGGGGCGCAGCGCCGGCCAGGTCCCCAGCCCCAGCCCCAGCCCCTGGCGCCCGCCGGGGCCCGTACCTGCAGCGGGGTCCCCTCCTCCTGCGCTGCTGCGTCCCGCGGCTCCTCGGCAGGGGAGGCACCAGAGCCTTCCAGACGGCGACTTCGGGAGCCCCAGGCTGCAGCTCGCGGCTTTCCTGCCAGGGCTGTCCCCACCTGGCGCCTGAGGGAGGTCCCAGGGAGCCGCGGCCCCACCCAGGAGGGCACACAGGAAGGGGGTGCTGCTGGCGCAGCCACGGGCGCCTAACCAAGGAGGCCTCATTCCAACCACCTAAGCCGCTTCTAGAAAACCCAAGGCCAGAAGGCAGGGGGCCCTTTCTCTCCTTGCATCTGACGACACTCCCCCGCTCCAGCACCTCTATGGCTCCCGATGGCCTTTCACAGTTTTTAACCCCTTGCCCTCTCTGTGCCCAGCCTGCACAGCGGACGAAACTGAGGCACAGAACCCGAAAGTAACCCAGCCCAGAGGAACCCCCGGGGGTTGAGTGCAGTGTCAGTCTTCCAAGTGGGCAGCAGTAAACTTAGACGCAGGGGCTGAGGGAAGGGTCTGCGCAAAATCCGGAGGAAGGGACCGTGGGGACCCCGGGCGCAGGTGGAGGGAGGGCTCAGAGCTGCTTCTAGCAAAGGTCCCACGGGCGGCCCGGCGGTGGGCAGACCGGGGGCGCAAGATGGGGCGGTGAGGACGCGGAAGGAGCCCGAGCGGCAGGGACTGGAGGCCGCCGCACCGGCACCCAGGGGCTAGGACAGCGGCCCCTCGTGGTCATGGGCGGGAACTGCATCCTTCGTGGGTTCTATTTACTCGCGAAAATCGCGTTTCCAGTGTGGGGCAAATGAATTACGCTCACTACTGCAGTAAACTGCAACGCTATTTTACCTTTTTACCCGAGCGCCTGCAGCACACGCTGTTTGCCTTCCCTGTGCGGAACTGGTGCTGTGCATACCGCATCTTCATCCCTCTCTCTCTC